AGTTGTTCTGTAAAATCATCTGGGTTCATTTATTTTACCTTTATTTTCAGCCCTATCACTTATGCTTGGGAAGGTGGAAAATTGATATCAGAGAATGATGATTTTGAAGATATGGTGGTAACCAGAGAAGATTATGAAGAAAATGGACATAGTGTCTGTGAAGAGAAATTTGATATTTAAGAAACAATTCTGAGTGAAAGTCTTGACTGGTTATGACTGAAGGGTTTAATTTCAGTGTTCCTTTTAAAAGAGGTTAAGCAACTGTGTTACCTTTCATGCTAAGATAAAGCCTTGAGTTTATGTAAATCCTTTGATCCACTGCTAATTTTCAAAGGCTTCTTAGCTAGGTTATTACTGTAAAATGTAACTCAGCCCGTATTTTCAATTAGGAGCTAGACTACCATAACAGTGCTTATGCTGTTTCTGAGAGTAGGTTATTTTTTCATTAGAAGATGAAAGAGTGAATGCATTTTAGGTTTAATTCTTTATAGCTGAAAGCATAGACTTCACTGTCTCACTGGTCAGTTTTCCTTCGAAGGTCGTTTTGTGTGACCATAACCAGGAATTAGTTGAAGTGTTTTCAGGGGGAATTGATTTATCTCTCTCTCTTAGAACTAAGTATTTTATTTAAAAATTTTTATTTATATGTATTAAAGTTGGAAAGACTAATCTTGTGCGTGTGTAATGTTTATATTTTACTTAGACTAAGTTTGAAAGGATGGAGACTAAAGCGAATTTAATAAAGTGTTTTTTGTTAATACTGTATTGGCAGAAATGTATTATTTTGTTCATAAATAAGTAGTGTACTAGTTTTTAGCATGAAAAGAAATTTGAAGTTATCTCAGGGTTTTTCAAGAACTCTTGATACACATGTTAGTGTTTTGTTTTAATACTCTTTTATATGATCTACAGTAAACATATAGAGGTGTTAAAGGCTCCAGATTTCTAATTTAAAGAAAGAGCTGACAGCAACATCAATGAATAGATCAGGCAGGCTTTTTTAATTGCAAGCAATAGAAACTCATTTGGGCTACCTCCAGCAAAACAAACTTTTTCAGCAGGACAGAGGATAGCTCATAAAATCTAAGAAAAGGGAAGGAGAAAAGTCAGGGTAACTAGAGGAATCTAAGTTATAGGAATTTAGGGACAGTCTTTCTAGAGCCCTGCCATCAAAATATCTCAGCTCCTATATTTTCTGTCTTATGTTGTTGTGCTGCTGAATCAAATTCTTAGCAGTCTGTTCACCCTCACTGGGATCATGCATCTACCCCATGGCTTGAGGGGCTTTGACAGTCCTACTCAGATGGCCTAGAGTGAAAGAAGGTCGTTTCCCAAAGGAAAATTGAAGTGAAATGATGGATGCTGGGCAGAGTGAAAGAGTTTCCACCATAGTCATATTTGGATTGTGTTGGGTTAGGGCCTGGTCAGCCTTCCCTACACCTAGACAGAGTTGCAAAGTGACTTGTGTATGTTTGTATGATACCCAGTTACTAGCGTATAATTTGTGGACAGTGTAGGAAGAAGGTCTGGTGGCATAAAAAGTTTTTGCAACCAAATAGTATAAATAACTATGCTAGAATTTGAAGGTGATGTAGTTGGAGGTAAAAAGGTAAGTCTTCATCTAAAAGGCTTTCCTTGGCTTGTCAGGACCTCATCCTGGGCCAGCATACTATCATCACCAACCAGGGGTTTTTCCTTTGAGGGTCATTCCTCAAAGCTGCCTTTCCCAGCATGCCTCAGCCTGATACCTCCTATTATATTCTGCTGAGAATGTTGTGTGTATGTGTGTGTGTGTGTGTGTGTGTGTGTGTGTGTGTTTTCACATGCTTATGATAGTAAACTAGTTTCTATACAGTTTAGCTCTGATAGTGCTCATTTTTGAGACACTACAAATTCATTTCTGAAATTAATGAACATAGACCCTAATCCTTTATCATTAGCATCAAAGTTTCCATCATTCCAACATCTAATTTTGAAATTTTACTGCTAAAGATAGATACTGTTTTAATATATTTGACTTCAAAGAGAACTTTTAACATCAGCTCTAAATAATAACATCTGAGGTGATATTTTAAAGGGATCTATTATTTTGGAGTATTTTTGAATTTTTGAATTCAATGGTTGATTGCCTCAAGATAGCAAACTGATCATGTTCACCTACTTCTCTACCTGTCCCAAATCCCATTAAACGTTTCCAGTGGGGAGGGGAGGGAGGCAGATGAAGGAGGAACGCACAGGGTGTACTTCAATGCTATTTATGATGTATTATTTCTCAAGGTGGATTTTAGACACGTGGGTGTTCTATTAGAGCCTATACTTTATTGTGTGTATGCAATAGGTCATGTTATATTTTGTTGAGAGAGTAAATGCATAAGTGATTCTAGGAAACAAAAAGGGTGACATTGATGTTACAGACGTATAGAAATTTCTAAAAGATGGAAAACAAATGAGATTAGATTGTTAGAGAAATAAGAATAAGAAAGCCCGCATCCCAAATCAGGGCAGGAGAAAACCACCAAAGAGGTAAGAACAATTCCAAATATTTTAATCTGAGGACTAACACAGAGTAGAAGGAAAAAACTGGGTGTGGTGGTGTGCACCTGTAGTCCCAGCTACTCTGGAGGTTGAGGCAGGAGGATCGCTCGAGCCCAGGAGTTTAAGGCTACAGTTAGCTATGATTGCACCAGTGCCCTCCAGCCTGGGCTACAGAACAAGACCTTGTCTTTAAAGAAAAAAAAAGACTGAAAAACTGGGTTGGAAAGAAGCTGAGGGAATTTTTCCAGAAACTAGCACAACTGAATAAGCACTGGGGTGGCTGGAAAAAGAGGCTAACCAATATCCACAGTATAGGCTATGTTGTCCACCTGAATACTAAGAGCCTTCTCTATAGAAGAGAGCTTTTGATAAGCTTTCACACAGGAAATAAATATCGTTGTACTTGGGGCCTATTCTGAGATGCTCATCCACATACTTTCCTTTACTTTCCTAAAGCTTCTAGTTCCCAGGTTTTTTTCTTTTCCTTTTTTTTTCCCCCCAAGATGGTCTCGTTCCATCCCCTGGGCTAGAGTGCAGTAGCATCATCATAGCTCACTATTTATTTGTAGAGATGAGGTCTCACTCTTGCTCTGCCTAGTCTGGAACTCCTGGCCTCAAGCAATCCTGCCTCAGCCTCCCAAATTGCTAGGATTACAAGTGTGAGCCACCACACCAGAACAGGTTTCTTTCTTGGAGTTGTCAACTTTCTGACCCACTGGTCAAACCATTAAATGTCATCTCTTGACATACCTTCATGTAAATTGAACAACCAGAGATACTGCTCTGAGTTCACCCTGGGACCATTTCTCTTCCCCACTACATGTAGGTCAGGCATGCTCTGCATCATGCCAGCATCAAGAGGAAGAGCTATATACAAGATTGAACTCACACTTGTCCTAAGGACAGAAATAAACCGTATGAGTTTGCACTCAGTCTATATACTCTTACTGCACTGTTTACCTTTACCTCAACCCACACCTATGATCTCATGAAGGTTCCTAATACCAAGGAGAAAAAAAAAATCAAACCTGGTTTACTGGTTTTGCATGATATGGCTGGCACCAGAAGTGTAGTGCTAGGGCATTCCAGGCTCACATAGATGTACCAGTGTCCATCAGGGTTCCGTAGTGAGCCAGGAACTATTTCTCAAAAGCAGAATAATTATTTACTGTAGAGAATATGAATTTGCTCCAAATCCCGAAGACTACTTTGAGCATTATGAGATTCCCTAGGTCAAAAAGTCAAGTGTTAGAGCACTTCACAGCACAGCCAGAACTGGCTGGACAGCCTTCCCTTGCTCTGAGGCCTACTTTATAATAATACTTTTTTTTTTTTTTTTGAGACAGAGTCTCACTCTCTTGCCCAGGCTAGAGTGCTGTGGCATCAGCCTAGCTCACAGCAACGTCAAACTCCTGGGCTCAAGGGATCCTCCTGCCTCAGCCTCCCAGGCAGCTGGGACTACAGGCACGCACCACCATGCCTGGCTAATTTTTTCTATTTTTAGTTGTTTGGCCAATTTCTTTCTATTTTTAGTAGAGATGGGGTCTCGCTCTTGCTCAGGCTGGTCTCGAACTCCTGAGCTCAAATGATCTACCCGCCTCGCCCTCCCAGAGTGCTAGAATTACAGGCGTGAGCCACTGCGCCCGGCCTATAATAATACTTTATAAGTAGGCTGCATCTTGTGGATTTCTGGAAAATTAGTCATAGCAGCCTATCTAAATGTGGTACACGTTGTTGACAATTCTAAAGAGGTCCACCAAGAATTGTGCCTGTTTATTAATTATATGGGTACAAGAAGCAATAACTTGTCTTTCATATTGGAGGGAACATTTCCAACCTTCCTCAGGCCATTGGTAGCCAGAAGCTTCAGTAAAATGGCAGTCCCTGAATTTTTGTGTGGTGTATCTCCCATTCTCTGGTACGTGTATCTTACCAAGGCATTCAGGATAACTGCTACTTTCTGTGTGCCAGTTACATTAGCACAATGTTGGGATACACCATAAGACAGTGGGAAGATCAAGATCCCTGTGGACTAAATAATGTACCAGAACCAGAGTCCAAACCCACCTCAGGATATCCATTCCAGTGTTCAGGCTTCTACCTCTCTAATATCTTAATTTCACATAAAAAAAAAAACCTAGCAAGACTATGATCTGTTGTAATTCATAAACCTGTCTGCAGGATCATACTCTGACTCATGTTGACTATATCAGCTCCGTAACTATACAGAAGATCTTTTGGGTCAGCCATGAAAGCTGCTTGGTTCTTTGACCATGCCTTGAACTGAGAATTTCAAACTCTGAGGCTATTTTATTTCTTTAAGCTTTCTAACACTTTCTAACAGAGTTAGAAATAACTAGTGTACTTATAGTATCATTTAATGATGCAGAATTACCCCAGAATCTAGCACCTTAAAACAACAAATTTATCATCTCACACAGTTTATGGGGCTCAGGGATCCAGGAGTAGCTTTGTTGCAGAATTCTGACTCAGGGTCTCTCATTAGGTTGCAGTCAAACTGAGAGCTGAGAATGAAACTTCTGAAGACTTGTCATGGGCTGGAGGATCCGCCTCAAGCTCATTTACATGGCTCTGGCAGGCGGCTTCAATTGCTCTTTATCATGTAAGTCCTCAATGGGATTGTTTAAGACATAGCTTTCCCTAAAGTGAATGATCTGGGGGGGGCGGAGAAAAGCAGAGAGACAGAGAGAGGAGAGAGAGCACCCACAGGGCATACAAGCACGAGCGCTTGTACACCAAAAAGATGGAAGCTGCAGTCTTTTATAGCCTCATCTTGTAAGTGACATGCCATCACTTCTTCCATATTCTACAAAAGGGTGTGAATACTGGGAAGCAGGGATCACTAAAGATCATCTGAGAGGCTGGCTACTACACAGTGCTTTTGATATTCTTCACTTTTGCCAAAATGATTTATCACGACAGCCACTGAAGCTCCCGTAGCCTTGCCTTCAGAAGCCACTTCACCTTTGGCAACGACAAGTGACAATCTAAAGCTGGGGTTCTGTTGCAGAGAATAGACTACTACAGCTGGTTTAAGAAAAAAAATTATTACGAGTTATTAACTGTATTAAAGAATTACTGAGCTGGCTGAAAAACAGACTACAGACTGAGCTTCCAGGAATGATTTCCAAAGCCATGCTACAGGGGAGGTTCTGCCAGGATCAGGTCTGGCGCTTGGTGAGTTGGGAGGCCACTTGTGCAGCTGCTGGCTCCGGAACTAGACTACCTCTGCTAACAAGAGAAAAGCTGTGGTCAAAACGGTGCTACCACGCAGCCACTGACTAAAGCAGGAAGCTACCACCGCAATCCACGTCAATAAAATGGGTGCCTTATGCCTATCTCTCTCTTCACTTACCTCCGAATTTGTTTCTTTTTTTTTTTTCTAATTTCATACAAATGAATATAAACAGTTTTATGTAAATCAGATCCAGAACCCTGGCTACAAGGAAGCTGGAAAATGAGGTTTTTAGCTTTTTATTGTCAGAAGTTTAGGAAGACACACTAGAAGGAAGTCAGGCTAGATATTGAGCAACAGGATCCACAATATCTAGTCAAACCAGTATTCGAGCCTGGGGGAAAAACAACTTTTGGATAGACAAGGACTCAAAAAATTACCATTGAGATCAGTTCTGAAAGAACTGCTTAAGGACATAGTACTCTAGAAAAATGACAGTGAATCTCAGAAAGGATTTTTCAATTTTTCAAGCTGTGTTCACTCACAAACATTTTCAATAAATATTTAAATATATGTTTAAATATATTTTAATATATATTTATTCAATTTTTATAAACAACTTAAGCACTAGTTACACAGATACTTTTTATTCTGAATCAGTCCTAAACTAATTTTAAAAAGTTTCTAGTGACAATCTTAATAGTTCTTAGTTTGGAAATAAAACATACAACAAATAAAACAAAGGAATAGCCTTATCAAAATGTCCTTTTAAAAGTATCACTTTTAGCATTTTATTAATTTTTTTTTTACTAAGTTGTTAAATGGTTACTTTTTAGCATCCTTGACCCATCTTTAAAGCACTTAGTTTTACTCCGAACTTTAAGAACTAGGAAAATGTCTCATATATCCATTAATACTTTGAGAGTATCATATTCTTTTTGGAAAAAGTTAAGTGGTTTCACATTTTTAGTCTAAGGGAAAATGCTAATAGAAACTTGAGTCAGCGAACAGTTGTGTAATTAAAAGTGGTCTTTGTTACGGGTTAATTCACCTAATTTATGGGCCTCAAAACTCCAGGGAAATGGTTAAATTTCAGATTTTCAAGCTCCATCTCAATAAATTAATTCATTAGGTCTAGAAACGTATCATTGTGTAACAAGCACCCTGGGTAATTCTGGTGCATACAGATGACCCCTGACCACACTTTGGAAACGCTGGCCTGGAGGCTGAGGGAGAACAGCATTTAGTAAAATAGCCTAACTTGTGACAGGCGATGTATATATATCATTTAATCCTAACTACAGCAGTCGAACACTAGCCCCATTTTGCAAATGAGAAAACTGAGGCTCAAAAGAATGAGTAACTGTTCAAGGTCACACTAGGTAGCAGAGCTGCAATTCAAACACAGGTGTCTCTAGTTTTGAAGTCTCTGCTTTACCACACCTTCAATTTAGATGTTCACAAGTGCCTCATGCTAAACATAACAAAGTTAAATTCACTCTCAACTCCTCATCCTTCTAATCCCAACCTGCCGTTCCTCTTGGACATCAATCCAATTGTCTCTTAATTCTTCCACCAGTTTCTCCCCATTCCAGACTTCTCTCCACACTGTTGCCAGTTAAGTCCTTCTGAAACCAGATCATGATCTCCTGCTCCCTATTGTATCGAGATGAATTCAGACTCTGCGGGGCCACCTTTCTAGATTCATGTCTACTCTTTAGCACACACTCCCTACAAATTAGGGATCCCGATTGTCATAGAAAAGAATATATATACATACATATATAATTTTTTCATATATGCACACATACTAATATAATTTGGATATTTGTCCCCTCCAAATCTCATGTTGAAATTTGATCCCCAGCTAGGGCCTAGTGAGAGTTGTTTGAGTCATGGAGGTGAGTCCTTCATGAATGACTTGGTGTCCTCCCCATAATAATGAGTGAGTTCTCATTCTATTAGTAATAGTTCATACAAGAGCAGGGTTTTTTTGTTTTGTTTTTGAGACAGAATCTCACTCTGTGGCCCCAGGTAGAGTTCAGTGGCGTCATCATAGCTCACTGCAGCCTCAAACTCCTGGGCTCAAGTGATCCTCCTGCCTCAGCTTCTGCAATAGCTGGGATGGGGTCTCGTTCTTGTTCAGGCTAGTCTTGAACTGAGCTCAAGTGATTCTCTCACCTTGGCCTCCCAGAGTGCTAGGATTACAGGCATGAGCCACCATGCTCGGCCAAGAGCTGGTGGTTTAAAAGAGCTTGGCATCTTCCTCCTCTCTTTTTCTTGACCTTTGTCTAGCCATGTGAAACATTGGCTCCCCTTCAATTTCTACATGAATGAAAGCTTCCTGAGGCCCTCACCAGAAGCAGATGCTGGTGCCAGGCTTCTTGTACAGTGTACAGAACTATGAGCCAAATAAACCTCTTTTCTTTATGAATTACCCAGCCTCAGGTATTCTTCTATAGCAATGCAAAAGGATTAAGAACACACACACCCCAGGGAGATGGATATATGTATAAAATGCCCTTTTATCCACCCTAGTCTCTTTGTACATTCTAGTCCCTCTCCTAGAAATGCTGTCACAAATTCCACTCTAACTCCCATTCAGACTTAAAGACCAACCTTAAATATTGCTTCCCTGCTGAAGCCTTTCAGATGCCATAAGAAATTAATTGTATAGAGTTCTCTATTCATATCACTATGCATTTACTACATTGTTAATTTTATGTTCATGTTCTACTAGCTTTATTTTTCTAAGAGTGCGACTATAACATATCCACTTATATCTCTAGCATTAAACGTGGCATAGATGAAATGTTGAATTATTTTGCTCATGAGTAGGTAGTATCATTGGTCAAAGAGTTGTTATATGACAGAGCTGGGGCTGCAACCTCAACTTTTTGGTTTTTCTGTTCAAAAATCTTTTTAGCACACAAGCAATTAGCATAATAAAAGCATTTCCAATTCACTTTTAGAGTATACAGGAAAGATTTCCAGAAAAAAGTTCTCAAGGTCTCAAGAATGGCTTTCAGTCTTGAACATTATGTATATAAACTATATGACAGGAGAAAACTTTTGTCTCAAAATTTATTTCTTTGAGTTAGAAAATCTTTCACTTACCTGGATAGTACCTGTCAAAGAAAAAATTATTCAATGATACTTGTTAAAAGAAGACTTTATTCAGGACCATTCTGATAGGTATAGGGACCACTGCTATGAGATTTTGCAGTGGGGGAAAAATGTTAGGCTCAACTCTGACTACAACATGGGCAAGTGGGAATTTATAGCCAAGAAGCCGGGCTAAACTGACCTAACAAGATTCTTGCTGAAGACAGGCCAGGAGATGGTGGTGGATGAGGAATCTGATCAGGTATTGAGGGTTCTTGCTAAACTGACCTAGCAGGGTTCATTGCTAAAACAGGATTTAGAAGGAAGTACACAGATGCGCCTAATAGAAAGTTCAGGAGCATGACTGAAGTTTGATCAAGCAAAGAATCTTTGTCATACCTGAGATTGTGAATAATCTAAGAAGTTTAAACAGAGTTTTAAGCATTATGAATCAGAGTTAATTGTCACGGAAATTTACTGAATATTCTACCAGGAAGTAAGCTTTTCAGTGGTTGGAGCTAGATTTTATTTAGGAGAAAAATAGCTTTACACAAAAGTCTCCTCAAATGGTTAGACTAAAACTGAATGACAACACCTTTGGGAATTTGTTTTTAAGCCTAATAACTGTATTTTATGGAGCTGTCACTAGGTGGCGTCACACTACTCGGTTAGGAATTTCTCTAAAAATTAATCCCTCATAACCTTCAAAAACTATTCAGCAGAAGTCAATTTTTCTTTGAAAACAGGTTTACTTGAGTAGGTGTGTGTGTGTGTGTGTGTGTGTATAGACATATAGATCTATAGATAGATAAAATTGAGCTACATTAGGGAATATTATAGGAAATGTCATTTGAATAATAATTTTTTTTTTTGGAAACAGTGTCTCACTCTGTTTCTTGGGCTATAGTGTGGTGAGTCATCATAGCTCACTGCAGCCTCAAACTCCTGGGCTCAAGCGATCCTCCTGCCTAAGCCTCCCTAGTAGCTGGGACTACAGGCATGAGCTACTGTATCCAGCCTAAATAATAAAACATTTAAAACATGGTTAACAACTCTGACATCTAGTCATTTTATAATACTATTTCTAAATTGTATTTTACTTAATCTAGGGTTCTCACTGCTAATATTTTGCCTTGAGCCCAAATAGGTCAAGGTGGTAAATTCAGGTCTCTGAATCCAGAGCCCATATTCTTGTTACCATAATACACTCTCCCGCATTAACCCACTATTCACAGATAGACTGTTATCCATCAGAGTTGGAAGGTGCCTTTGATATTACCTGGTCCAATCTTATAAATAAGATAAGAAAACCTTATACAAATCTATGTGTGTATATTTTTATTTTAGAGATTTAAAAAATAAAACAGAAGCTCAGAGGGAAGATACTTGCCTAAGGTTATAATTTCCTGAGCAGCAGATGCAAGGACATGGTAATATCTTTAAAGCATTTGTCAAAGTGGCCGCCATTTGCAGTAATGACTAGCAATTCCCCACCTGATTCACACTGAACCTTAAAATGGCGACTTTCCTAATAAGGAGACTTCCCCATCTTACACTGAAGAGGGTGTGGCTGCACATTTCCAATATTTTCCTGGTATCTCTTCAGCCACTCTCTCAGGTCTTCCACTGCAGGTATATTGATTTCCTCCCCAACTCTAAAAACAACCAAACACAGATTAGGGCAGTTATATGTTCTAGTGTCAAAGAACCATTTTGCCTTGTTTCTTGTTTCTTTTTTAAAATGGGAAGGAATTTAAAAGTCATCTAACTTAATGCTCTTATTTTAATTAAACATCTGAATATTTAGGCTATCCACAAAGTAAAAGCAAAATTTGGAAAATATACAAATATGCATCAGTAAAGACTTTTAGTATATTCTCTGAAGACAGAGAATCAGCACTGTGTTGATTCTCTAACCCAGTGGTTCTTAATGTGTTTGGGTCACAGTCCCCTTTGAAAATCTGGTGACAGTTATGGATCCTCTTCCTAGAAAAATGCTATAAGCACAGGCACACAAAAAATTGCCCGCAATTTCAGAAAGTATATTATACTTCAGCCCTTTGAAACCTTTTCATAGACTCTTAGTTGAGAACTTTGTTTTCCTACTATGTTGCCCAGGCTAGTGTTGGACTCCTGAGCTCAAGTGATCCTCCCACCTGAGCCTCCTGAGTAGCTGGGACTACAGGCGTGCACCATTGCACCCAGCTTCTTAGTTGGGAACTTTGAATCTAAGCTTTCAAATTTAACACAACAGATACAGTTTTCATACAAAAAGATAAAACTTATGACATCTGTTCAATGTATTTTATTTTTTTCAAGTACTAATGATTTATGCTTCTTTCCCTGTGATCAATGACATAAATTAAGACCACAAAAGAATTTTTTCTGTGTAACTTTCAACAGGTATTGAATATGTAATCTCTGCCATATTAAGAGAATCATGCCAGAGTGAATGAACCAATTTAAATACAGAGATAGAGAGAGAGAGAGAGAGAGAGAGAGAGAGAGAGCGAGAGAGAGCAAGCGAGCATGAGCGTGAGCCAGCATGAGCAAGTGGGCAAGCAGGGAAAAAATGAAAAAGGGCAAGGAAGAGCTAGAGAGAGAAAGAAAGGGAAGAAGGAAAGAAAGAATGAGAAGGAAAGAAGACAACCATAAAATACTTTATGGACTGAAGAAGAGTTGGAGAGAGAAGGCAAAATCATGGTTTTAGATTTTTATGAATTCTAAATTCAGGGCCTTTAAAATCTTCTACTTTATGCATCTTTTCCTATTTCAATAATTCACAGTCATTTAAGTTACAGCAGCCTAAGAGAGTAGCTTGAAAATAATAATATACTAAGGGAAGTGCATGCTTTCTTCAGAGAGCTCATGTATGATAAGTCCCTTCACTGTGGGGAAAAAATTCTAAGGAAATGAACTATATTAGATCCCTAATAATATTATAGTAGCTCATTTAGTAAGTGATTTTAGCACCATAATAATTAAGTGAATCAGTATACATGAAAATTAACTTGTACTCCTTTTTAAAGTTGAAAACTTCCTTAACATCTTAAACATGATTAAAATAAAATCAACACAAATAAAAATAAAATAAAACACCTGAAATGTTTTGAGGCTATCCTTTCTCTGACGTACAAGTACGGCAGTTTGAGAAAAGCGCCAGAGAATTATTTATATTTACAAATTGTTTGTAGTTTCTTGTACCAGAAATGTTAACTCAAAGCTTCCGGATGGTGTTTTTGAAATTCCTTAAGTAATTTCTTCTTTTGTTTCAAAGAGATGCTGGGGTCACTATTAATCTCAAGAGCCAGCTGGTGAAGATATTGAATTGTCCTTCCCTTTTGGTTTTCAAACTCCTTGTACGTCAAGGGTTGGCAAAATGTGAAGCCTTAAAAAACAAACAAACAAAAAAAGCACAATTAAAAAAGTAAATTAAAAAAAAACAACTAAAATGTACTTATGCAAACTGGCCTTATGCTAGACTTATTTTTTATCAAAATGTGGTGATAATGTTATCTATGCTTATATTAATATTTTCTTTGTTCCGGAGTAATAATACTGTTTCTTTAAAAAGTTTTCTGTACTTTAGCAAAACATACATGATTATATTTTGCATACATTATTTGATCTCCAAAATAAATCTACCAAATAGGAGAAGAAACTACTATCCCAGTTTCAAGAGAGATGCACAAAGAATTTAAGTGACTTGGCAAATAAATTAAAGGCATGTTCAAAACATGAACAAAGAATTTCTGAATTCTATAGCATTGCTTTTTCACTGCTCTGTGAGCTGTCTTGCCATGTGAAGTCAACAGAACTCCTCCCTGTGCTGATCTACAGATGAGGACCCCTTAGCCTCCACACACCACCAAAGCAATTCTCAGTGAGAGTTAACATTTGAAATCCTGAAGGCCATGAATATCGGGTTCTGCCTATCTTCACTGAAATAGCCTTCACCTAAACACACCTTTTAATGCCCTGGATTCACATTCTGAAAATTTAAACTCCTATAATCAACTCTATATTTAGAATCTATATCCTTCAAATAATAATAGGTTACAATGTGTGCTTACCATGTGTCAAGTTTTTGGTGCTTTTGCTCATTAAATCCTTAGTATCCTAAGGTATAGGTATAGAGGTATTATTATCAGCCATATCTTACAATAAAGAAATACAAGCTTGGACCACATGGCTGGCAAGTGGCTGAGACAAGTGGTTCTCCACTCCCAGGGTCTGGGGTCTTTACCACTTTGCTATTCTGCCCTTAGCTCTGTTTCTTTAATCTCAGAACATAAAAACCTTGATGTGTCACTTTTCTTTGTTCATCAGCCTCCCTTATAGTATTTCTTCTTTCCCATTCTGAGTTCAGTACGTATCTGAACATTTGAACCATTGCCTCATCAATGTGTATCCTCCATTCTCTTGTACTCCTATCCTTCTGCAACACAAGACAAGGCAAAATGCCAGCTTTTAATGCTCTAATCTGCCCTTTCCACTCCAACATTCAAGTAAATACAGTAGTCTACCCTTATCTGCCGGGGATATATTCTAAGACCCCCAGTGGATGCCTGAAGCCTCAGATAGTACCAAACACTATTACATATTACGTTTTTTTCTATACATACACACTTATGATAAAGTTTAATTTATAAGTTAGGCATAGCAGGAGATTAACAATAATAATTAATAATAAAATAGATCATAACAATGTACTGCAATAAAAGTTATATGAATGTGGTATCTCTCAAAATATCTTATTGTACTGTACTCACCTATTTTCACAAAGGGGTTAAATGACTTGTCCAGTTTGGCTCGAGCCTCCAAAATTAATATGTATCATGCTTTTTGAAGACCGCATGACAATCTTAGGAAATTTGGATTAAAAATATTTTATAGTTAAAAAAATTCTAAATTAAGGAATCATATAAATTCCCACAAGACACTGAGTAAAAAGAATCGTGGAGTCTATCCAATTGGAGGATCAGGCTCTTTATAAAATTTGATTCTTCCCCTAGAAAAGAAGGGGGCAAGGGAGAGAGAACGAAAAACCAGAAAAAGAATCTGAGAGAGTCAGGAAAAGAGACCACAGAGAGCACGGGAGCAGGCAAGTGGGTAGTAATCGTAGGAGAGGTGAGAACAGGAGCAGCAGAGAAAAGTTTCCACCGTTAGTAGAAAGGTAATCAGAGAAAGGGCTTCCAAAAGAACTAGAGAAGAACTTGCCCTGGAGATACTGAAAAACAACCTCACTGTAACCACCTTTTATAACATTATACCTATATTCATCACATACTCATCTTTAGCGCCTTCCGACTCACTTGGCTACCGCAGTCACTTAATGATGAAAAAGGAACAAGTTGGAATCAATACCTGATACAGCATCTGGATCTTCTCCATGTAGAAGCTTCTTAAGTTTCTTGGTGTCTACATAAAAACAGGTATTTTCAGATATTTAATATGATTTTTTTTCTAGCCAGGAATTCAACATAGAAAAAAGCCTCAATGTTTTTGACCTACGAGTAGGGGAAGAGGATTGCAGATGTGGAGAAAGAGTGGGTGGTAGGAGGCCTCTGAATTATAAGGGGGATGAATATTTAACATTTTTTTTTTTACTCTTAAAATCTTATTTTCTGCTTTCACGTATGTACTATATTTGAAATTAGGTTAAACCATCATTAGTGAAATGTTCTCCTATAACAATAAAAATTATTTTTATTTCCATAATAGCATTTGTCTAAATAAGCTTACATTGCAATTACATGGTCCATATGTAAATAGTAGCTCTAAAATATATTAAAACATTATTCTCTCAAAATAGATAAATACTCCTTTTCCAATTTGGTTACACCAAAGTACATCTATCTGGAGAAATAATCCCTCATCTAATGTTGTTACAGAGGGCACTTCCTAGCCCTACCAACCCTGAAGCTCATGTCCAGACGGCTCCTTCTTCCTGGTTCCCAGGCTACCTTTTCATTAGCTTCCACTTGCCCTGCCACTTTCTAGCCATGAGACTACCCTCATTAATTCCTTCCCTTTCCCAATAAAAATTTAGTGATTGCTATATGCAACCACAGGTACTGCTGTAGGTGATGAACAAGCAGATCAAGTTCCTTGAATTCATGGAAGTTATATTTTTATGGGAGAGAAAGACAATGTAACAAAAAATCAACAAATACATTATAGTACATATAATTAATTTCAGGTAGTGATAGGTACCATTAAGAAAACACAAAGCAGGGTAAGAAGCTAGAGTGAAGGCGGTGGCCAATGGTAGACAGCGTAGGTAAAGCCCTGTAACAGGAACAAGCTTGGCATGTTCGAGTGCCCCTATGATAAATCCTCTAATCTCTAGAAACAGTCATCAGAGCCCTTCTCCCTGCTTCCTGATTTCCACTCCCCCACTTCCTCCAGTCTATGTCAAGTTCCTTTTCTCTCTTTGTGACCCTCTATAAAATTTGAACCAGTATGTTTCTTTTTGACACTGTTAGTTCTGACATGAGGGGGATAAGAAAAATGAAAAAATCTTTTCTAACTTCCATATCATATATAGGAAAGAGGCAAATTCATTTACCCAGAGGAGGCAGGGTGAGAAAGAAGAAAGTGAAGAGAGGCTGAGTGGTAAGGAAGAGGAGGAGAGAGGGAATGTTCTAAATTCCTAGTTGGAATCTGGGTCCCATTTTAGCAAGTAAACTGTATGTGAGAATTTGGTTTAGTGATTGTAGAATCAAATATGTAACCTGGGCCCTAATCTCCATTTCTTCTTCTTTTTTTTTTTTTTTAATGAAAAACGAGGTATAGAGTACCTAACAACTGACTTACAAATGAGCTCTTAAAATATGTTTCATTCAAAATACATAAACAGGGGACTGCCTCAATTGTACTTGGTACTTCCTTTTTCTCTTAAATAATGGAAAAGAAACTTCAGTTAAGGTTGACAGACTGCTATAATTTTTTTTTTTTTTAATACAGAGACAGGATCTTGCTATGTTGCTGAGAATGAACTCAAACTCCACCCACCTCAGCCTCCTAAGTACTTGGGACTACTGGAACTGCTATGTTTACGACATGGGACAACATATTTAAGCAAAGGAACAAAAGAAAGGAACAATTCTTTTTTTTTTTTTTTTTTTTTAGGAACAATTCTTTATAGAGGCTTTGGAGAAATAACACCACTAAAAGTATTCATACTACTTGCTGGAACCAAAATATAGTAGCGAGGCTAAAAATAATCTTCTTCTAAAACATTTCAAAATGCATTAAGAATGTGACCGTGTTTTACTAATGCTACTGTGGCCTGTTTTAAGTCACCTTATCTCTTGCCCAGATTATCACAACAGCCTCCTAAAAGGAGTTCCTGCTTCCACCCTTGCCCCTCTATAACCTATTTCCAATGCAAAAGTCGAGTGATCTTTACCAATGTCAGTCAAATCGTATGACTGTTCTGCTCAAACCCTCCAATGATTTCGCATTTTATTCCAAGGAGAAGCAACCTCCAATGGCTACGAGGGTCTTACTGTGACTTGGGTGCCCACCCCTGCCTCCATGAGCTCATCTCATACCACTTTCCCCTCTGTTCACCATGTCTTGCTTTTCTTCAACACTCAGGCACGTACCCCCTCACCCCCAGGGCCCCTGTTCTGGGAACCATTCTCTCTGCCCAAAACCACTACCCCCAACCCTACAGCCACTTGATTAACTAACTCTTTCTCCCCTTCCAGTTTTGCCCAGATCTTGCTTTCTCAGTGAGCCCAACCCTGGCCACCCTATTTAACACTGTAAAAGCTCATGCCCATCCCTGCCCTCACATCCATAAATACTCTTAACCTACTCTTTTTTTTTTCTATTACATTTATCACCTATCAAACTATATGATTGGATGATTTATTGTGTATATCTTTTAATTGTCTGTCTTCCTCCACCTGGACTTAAGCTCCTTAAGGGCCTGGACCTTTGTGTTTTGTTCACTGATATATTCCAAGCATCTATAACAGTGCCTGGTATGCAGTAACACAGAATTGAATAAATTAATCAATATATTTGCAAATTTATATTTACCAAAACTGTTTTAAGTCAAGTTCCTTCTCTTTAGTGGGTGTGGGGAGACAGCATTTCTTTAAACTTTGCACATTCTTGGTTCTCAGTAAATTATTTATTAAGTGAATGGTTTGCCTTTTGCTGAATCCAAATAGCTTAGTAATAAATGTGCCCAGGCAAACTGCCAGAGATACCTTGAAGAGCTCAGAGTGATACTCCAGTAGAAACCAGACCAGTTGTTCTGCCCGCACTTTTAATAATGATTTGGTTTGCAGAACTGCTTTGGCAAGAGTTTTCAGGACCACTGTTTTGTTATCATACTGTAAACAGAAAGATTAACATTAGCTTAACTGGTTTTTAAAAGAAAAAATTGTAAAACTGTTGTTGCAAATTTTTTCACCTGTTTTTGCAACTTGTAGGCATTAGGCTCTGATGCAATAGCCATGAAAGTAAGTAGCCGTCGTAATTCTTCTCTAACATTGGGCAACAATAATCTTAAATATAGCTGTATAGCTTCAAGTGCTTCTGTTTTTTTCTCATTTTCTGTTACATGGGTTACAAAGAAGACAAAGCAGGGGATAGAAAATGGAGAGTATAGTAAGTATTTACTAGCAGTCAATTAAAATGCTATGATGTTGTATTGGTTTGCAGGTTCATTTTTACACTTAAAATTTTTTATTATGAAATATTGCAAACACACAGGAAATTTTTAAGAGATGGTATCTTGCTTTGTCCCTGAGGCTGGAGTGCAGTGGCATGATCACAGCTTACTGCAGCCTCCAACTCCTGGGCTCAAGTAATCTTCCCGCCTCAGCCTCCTGAGTAGCTGGCACTACAGGCGTGCACCGCTATGCCTGGCTAATTAAAAAAAAATTTTTTTCAGAGATAAGGGTCTTACTATGCTGCCTAGGCTGGTCTTAAACTCCTGAGCTCCAGTGATCCTCTTGCCTCAGCCTCCAGAGTGGCTGGGATTACAGGTGTGAGCCACCACACCTGGCTAGTATTTTGTTTTTAACGTGAAATAATATGGCCACTTACATAGCTTAAAAAAAAAAAAAGTGACCTGTCATTCAATTTTTTTTTTTTTTTT